TGGCATCCATTGCGGGATTAGGTGTCTAGTCAGCAGTTTTACACAGGGGGGTTCTGAACCATCGGCTGAGCTTATTTGTCCGAAGGTCGAGCTTCCTTATGCATATCTGATGGCGTGGCTTGTCCTTCACCGTCCTGACTTGATGTCGGCGCCCAGCGTTGTTGATGTCCCTGTTCCTTTTATGCAGCTGTTGGAGAAGAGCAGATGGCTCGGGAACAAATTCAGTGATGTGCAACGAGAGCTTCGAGTCTGTAAGAGCTGGGAGTTCTTCAAGTGTTTTCCTCACTTTTCGGGTCGCTATGGTGACGTGCTGATTGACGAGGAGAAACCTAGAAGTGACCGGACTGTTCTCGACGTTGGTTGTTTCCGCTGGTTAGTGAACATCCGCGTTGGGTATCTTGTTCTCCGGGTGAAGAATTGATGTCACATAGAGCCTTACCTTCCCTGCCATTTTGCTCGTCAGTTCGGCTATGACCAACTATATGTTGGGAATCCAAGCCGTGGTCTGCAGGTTGAGGGAGGGCTTATTAATGGCGTACGAGCATGGCTGTGGACTATGGCGGGCTGCACTGGAGCCCATTTTGCTCTTCCTTCATATAGGCGTAAGCCGCAGACCACCTTTCTCAGTTGCAAGTGGTTCCTTTCCGCCCATGAATCCATAGGTGTGAGGAGTCTCTCAGAGTTACAGTCCGAGCACTCGGTCCAGGTTGCTATGATGGCTGCTCGCAGGGCTGAGCTTGCTCAGAAGCAGAGAAAGGGACATGCCAAATCTCTTCTCACAGATGATGAAGAGCTCCTTCCTACGGGTGACGACGACGAGACCTCCGAGGAAGAATATGTGGATGCAGATACCGACAGAGGAGAACTCGATACCGGTTTGTCCTGCTTCTTTGATTTTCCTTCTCCATTCTAATTGGTATAAACGACAGCTCTTGTTTGTTTAATGAAATGACCATTGTCACTTTAGGTAGGACAGTTGACGATCATGAGTCGCCAGCTCCTCGTTATACGAGCTCAGGGCCCGACGATCGAGCTCCCACGCACGTTGAGACGTGTGACAAGTCTGTGCATGACCGACCTGTTGGTCCTAGGAGGGCTGGCGCCCCGAAAAGGAAGAAGACCGCTCATAAACCCCACGACGGTCAGCGTCTTTATGGAGTGGACTTAGGAAGCATCGCCGATGGAGGGGAAGGTAACATTTATTTTTATTGCCTTAAGGTGATTTACCTTTTGGGATTCGTAACCATGTTTTATGCTCCAGGGTTCTTCGAAGAGGGCGAACTTCCACCGGGTCCGGTATCTCCTGGATCTGATAACATGGATTGCTTCATGCAGCAGATGTGCGACGCCCTTCATGACGGTTCTCTGGGCATCGATCTAAACATTGATCTTGAGCAGGTGAATAGTGTTGAGCCCACCATCCCATATTCAGGTATATCTACATCCGATGATACCCTCCTCAAGCATGGGGAAAAAGAATCTTTTGTTTTTGCTGCAGGTATTTCTGAGCTTTCCTTTCTTCCTCATCTTCTAACATTTAGGTTATCCTGCAGATGTCGCGATGGAAAAGCCAGTTGAGGATGGAGCCTATCATGATGTAGGTTTCGAGGAACGGGGGTGTGCTCCTGTACCAAGTTTCTCGAAACCCGATGCTGGATTATTAACCGACATGCTGGCTGAACAGACTGCCAGAGGAACCGTGAGACCACCCTTTGAGAGTGATTCATTCACAGGTATATATCTGATTCCCTTCATCTTGCCTGATCTTTTGTCTGACTAACGAAGGATTAATATTACAGCGCCAGTCATTGGGATTAACCCAATATCGATTCCCGGCATATCTAGCTTACCTCGAAGTGACGGACTTGCATGTATGCATACGATCTTGGATGTCACACTGCTTTTCATTCATTTTTTTTTCTAATGGATGAGTGTAATCATAGGACCAGCCGCTTGGGCCGATACCCTTATGACTCTTGGCATTCCCATCGCATCTGATGACGGTGGGATTACCGGTATGCATACGATCTTCTTGTCCCGATTCTCCTTATTTGTCCAAATTTCCATTTGACTAATACAGGAGTGTAACTATAGGACCGGCCGTTGTGCCTGATACTACTATAGTTTCTGGGACTGAAAGTTTGCATAGAAGTGGCGTCTTCGCGCCCTTGCCGAGTGGTATGAGCGATCTGCCTACAGGGGTTGATATACCCTCCATGACCACTTCTGCCGTTATCTCGGAGTCCGCCGGACCTCATCCCGAGGGGACCTCCGCTGGCGTTGGTATGCTCGGAATTTGCCTTTGAATTTCCTTATCGTATTCGATAATCTGCTAAACTTCTATGTTGTTGCTTGTAGGATCTCGATCCTCTCTATATGAGCGTGTCCGCGCCCTTTTGGTCGATACCGATCCTAACAGAGACATTTTCCGTACGGACCTCGGCTTCTTCACTGCCTTTTATAACGGCATGATCGAGAAACTTCTTCATAGAGGATACGGTTTCGATCAGTTCAGGCGTTCCTTTTCTCACCACATGATGATGATGAGGGAAGAAGGATACCCGGAATTGGCCGATTCCTTCACCGCCGCACGGATAGAGTTGAGCTACTCCGCTCTTTGGACTCGAGCCGCGAGGAAGTGACTAGGTTGAAAGAGGCCTTGAAGCGCGCCGAGGAATCTGTTACTCTTATTGCAGATGACCTGGCTGGATTAGAGTGTTCTCGTGAACAGGCACTCGAGAGGCTAGGATCCACCCAGGAGAGACTGATGAAGCTGAAGAGTGAAGCCGCGAAGATCTTGAGTAGTTCTGAAGAATCTGCTCGAGCTGATCTGCAGGCAGAACTCGAGCAGAGTTATGTAGATAGACTTTTTAGTTTAAAGTCTCATGTTCTCAGCCGCCAACTGCCTTCGGGCTAACGAGCTTTTTATTGTATGCTTTTGACTCGATCTATTAATAGAGACTCCGCATTTGCTTCTTTCGTGATCTTTCTGTGTTTATTCTGAATGACAAGATTTACGGGATTTTTGGTAAACCCCCAGCCCTCAACGGGTTTAATATGCCTTTACCTATTACCGTTTGAATCGGGCTAGCATGCGGATTGTCTAGATCCGTTCCACATGTAACATTGTGCTAAGAGAATTGCTTTTCTTAGACTTAATACTATGACTTTGAATACATAGACTTCACCATTTCTTATAGGGAAAAGATACCCCGCACCGCGTATTAGGCGATGACTTATCCCTTCTTAGGCTTCGGGATAAAATTCCCCAAGTTTAGATCTTGGTGTCTTTTTTAATCGGCGAAAGACTAAACCGGCAATGTGTGTTAGACATAGACTTTGGGATTTTTGGCAAACCCCCAGCCTTCAACGGGTTTGATGTGCCTTTACCGATCACCGTTTGAATCGGGCTAGCATGCGGATTGTCTAAATCCGTTCCGCATGTAACGTTGTGCTAGGAGAGTGAATTCTCTAAGACTTTGTTCTATGATTTTGAACACATAGGCTTTGCCCTTGTTACGAGAATAGGCTACCCGGCAACACGTGTTAGGTGTTGACTCATCCCTACTTAGGCTTCAGGATAAAATTCCCCAAGTTTAGACCTTGGTGACTTTTTCAATCGGTGAAAGACTAAACCGACAGCGCGTATTAGGCGTTGACTCATCCCTACTTAGGCTTCGGGATAAAATTCCCCAGACTGGATTCTGGTGTATTTTTCAATCGGTGAAAGACTAAACCGGCGACGCGTGTTAGGCGTAGACTTATCTCTATTTAGGAGTTGAGATAAAATTCCCCGTGCACAAAAGTGCACGGATTAGAAGTTGGGAATTGTGTCCTTTATCAGAATAAAGACGGACTGTGAAACGAGAGAGGAAGAATTTTATATTCTATCTCCGAGGAAGAATTTTATATTCTATCTCCCGGTACTGAAGAGGAAGAATTTTATATTCTATCTACAGTCAGAAAGGAAACTCAAGGTGGGATCTCCACCCCCAGAATCCGAAAAGATGAAACTAAAAGTGGGATCTCCACTCCGAGAATCGGAAAGGTTCAAACGACCCTAACTTTTATAGGATTGGTCATTTGAATCAAAAGAATCCCTCATTCATTGAGGAAAGAGTTCAAACGGCCCTAACTTTTATAGGATTGGTCATTTGAATCAAAGAATCCCTCATTTATTGAAGGGAAAACCCAATTTCAACCCTAACTTTTATAGGTTTGGTGGAAAAAGGAGCAAAGACGGATTTTCGTTTATCGAAAAGGAATGACTCGGTCTTAGTCTTAACTATTTGTAGGCTTGACTAAGTGAGATTGGGAACAATCCTAACTTTTATAGGTTTGATTGTTCAAATTGAAAGTGAACCTCTCGTTCATGGAAGGAATCGAGAGAGGAATTTGGCTTTGGCCCTAACTTTTATAGGTTTGACCTGAAAGCAAAGAAAGTGGAATACAGGTAGCAAAGAAAGTGCCAACTCGTATTATCACTCAAAGGAAGACTTTAATGCTAGGTGGTTAGGACCTAACATGTTGAGTCTGAGAAATACCAACGACGAGCAGATGGAAATTTTGGTGGATCCACCGTCAATTAATTTGATCAGCAGATGGTTTGGTGAGGAAAGATTAACCTATAAGATGATTGGATCTCATCTCACAAAAATAACTCATAAGAGTTAGAGAATTTTGATAAAAATAAGAAGAAACATTCTAACATTCAGAGTTCGAACGTAGATTTCTTATTCATCAATTCTACAGTGACTGGGTTATCCCTAAGAATACCCCATGTAGTATTCTTCTGGGAACTTCCCGATACATTAGTTATCCTGAAGATACTAAGGATAGTATTTTTTCAGGAACTTGCCGTTTATCGGCATCATAAGCCGGTCACCGTCCTTGGTGACAAGGCGATATGCGCCACTCGAGTAGACTGTCTCCACTACGAATGGTCCCTCCCATTTGGGTTCAAATTTACCCTTCTTCTTGGAGTTAAGGATCATAGGCCGCCTTTCAGCTAGAACCAAATCCCCTTCTTTGAAACTCCTTTGTCGAACCTTTTTGTCGAAGGCTCGAGAAATTCTAGCTTGGTAAAACTCAATATGCTGTTGAGCTTCCAGGCGCTTTTCATCGAGCCTCTCGAGTTCTTCGAGGCGTTTCTGATGTTGTTCTTCGGTCGTCATCTGGGTTGAAAGAGCGATCCGAAGAGACGGGATTTGAATCTCCAATGGAAGAACAGCTTCACATCCGTATACCAGCGAATACGGGGTTGCTCCCGTTGGTGTGCGCACCGTGGTCCGATAGGCCCATAGAGCCGCGCCAAGCTTGTCATCCCAGTCTATTTTATTAGTTTTCACGATTTTTGACAAGAGTTTGATGATAGTCTTGTTGAAGGCTTCAGCTAATCCATTCGCTGCAGGATTATAAGCCGTCGACGAGATATCCTGAATTTTAAACTTTTCGCAGAACCTTATGAAGGCGTTGCTGACAAACTGAGGACCGTTGTCATGTATGATTCGTCTTGGAACACCATACCTATAGATGATATGGTGCTTGATGAATGCAATGACATTACTCGTTTTAACTTCTCTGAGTGGAACTGCTTCAGCCCATTTGGAGAAGTAATCGGTAATTGCCAGGATGAACCGGTCGCCTTTGACTGATGGGGGATTTATCGGGCCAACAATGTCCATTCCCCAAGTCTCGAACGGCCATGACGTAACCGAAGGATGCAGATGCTCCGGAGGTTGATGCATATAATTCCCGTGTATTTGACATGCATTACACTTTCGGGCATACGTGATTGCATCACTCATCATGGAAGGCCAAAAATACCCCATTCTTCTGATGCGATCATAAAGCTTAGGACCAGGTTGGTGTGCGCCACACTCTCCTTCATGCGCCTCCCTAAGGACCTCTTCAGCTTCTTTGGTTGATAGGCAGCGCAATAGCAGCCCATCATACCCCCTGCGGTATAGCGTTCGATTGGTGCTCTTCGTCTGATTGACTCTCTTTCCTTCACATCTTCTGGCAAGATTCCATGCAAGACGTAGTCGATGATGGGGAAACGCCAATCTCGTGGTTCGAACTCGATTTGAGTAGCGTGCACCTCTTTAACCTCCTCTTCCTTGACATCTTCATTGTAAAGCGGTACTAGGAGTTGGTGAGTTCTTACCGTAACAAACTGCTCTGCTTCGGGAGGTTGTGCCAGAGATACGGCCAATGCTGCTAACGCGTCTGCATAGGTATTCTGTAGCCGTGGAATATGTTCGATAAAGAATCCTTCGAATGATTCTTCCATCTCCACTGCCATCTTATGGTATGGTATTAAATCCTGACTTCGAACCTCATACTCTCCTTGAACTTGTTTAACTATCAGTTGAGAATCGCCGAAGGCTTCGAGATACTCCACCCCCAGTTCTTTAGCAAAACTGAGTCCTATGAGTAATGCATTATATTCGGCTACGTTATTTGAACACGGTTCAGTCAACGAGTAAGCTCGAGGCATCACGTGTTTTCCCAGGGAAACTAATACAACTCCAACTCCGGAAGAAATCTTAGAACATCCAGGAGTACCTGTGACAATAGCTGCTCGGGAAGCACCGTCGAAGTATAAACGCCATACTTGTTGGTGTGAAGTCGCGTTGACTTTGTGGGTTTCATCGGGTAGGTCGTCATATATCTCGGCGGTATCCGTAGTTGGATTGTCTGCCAGGAGATCACAGATGGCCTGCCCTTTTACTGACTTCTGTTGTTTAAAATGCAAGTCGTATTGGGACAAGAGTAAGGCCCATTTTGCTAATCTCCAACTCATGGAAGCTGGTTGAGTCATGAACACTCGGACTGGGTTAACTTTAGAGATAACATAAATGGTCTGTCCAACCAGATAATGTCGCATCTTCTGAATAGCAAACACCAAGGTGAGACATTCTCTTTCAATCATAGGATATCGAGATTCAGCGCCTACCATGGTTC